CAAGGAACAGCCCCTACTAGCAACGTATCCGAAGTATGTGAGGCAAAGCTTCATCATCCTTGCCTCCAAAGAGCACTCTGGCTGCACTCTCTCCAAAACATATTTGTTTGTTCTTCTGGCAGTTTATGGGATGTTCAGTACTCTTCTCCAAAACCACAGCTCAATGGCATCAATTCTTCTGTCTCTCATATTTATTGCCCAATTCTCAGATGCATAGCAAGTGATCAGAAAGACCATGGCCTGAAGTTCTCCTTAGTTCTCAAACTGATAACATTATTCCTCAATCATTTGGAGAGGTCCCTAACTGCAGACTTTCCTAGTGCAATATGTCTCCTGATTTCAAGGTTGTTAATTGTGGATCCAAGTAAGATGAAGTTGTTGACAGTTTCAATCTTTTCCCCTTCTATCATAATGCTGCCTAATGTTTTCCCCATTTGTCATGATATTATTGGGACATTAGTAAGGATTTTTATTTTCTTGATGTTAAGATATGATTAATACTTAAGACAGTAGTTGACATTGTTTTGTACCATTGAGTCAGAAATGACCCACAGCTGACCCTCTAAAGGGTTTTCAGAGGCACTTAATCACACGGTAGGAGGATGCCCATCGTCCTTCTCCCACAGAGGAGCTGGTAGGTTAGAACTGCATGCCTTCGGGATTGTGGCACAGCTTCTTACCACTAGGCTCCAGAGCTCCCTGAATACTGTAGTAGATCTTCAATAAGTGCTTCAATCTCGCTTCATTTTCAGCAAGCAAGATTTTTGTCATTTTAGTATCTGAGTTGTTAATGAGTCTCCCTCCAAATAGTTCTTCATATAGTTTGTATAATAGAGCACATCCAAGAAAACCCCAGAGAGCAGTTGTGCTCTCTAACATGTGAGGTCCCCAGGAGTCGGGATGGCATGTGGAGGGCAATGAGTTTGATTTTTGTTTAATCCAATACTATTTTTAAATGATAGCTTTTCAAGATGGATGAAATATTTTAAGTAAATGGTTTTCTGTCAAGGTGATGGTTTCTTATAGAAATTGCTTTAATATAGGCTGAATTTAACCTTGCAAGTCATTTTTAAAAGGAAATTCCAAAACTTTACTTTAGGATGGAAGTGATAAAAAAATTGTGCCAAATTAGTAGTTGGTTTCTATAAAATGTTTTCACAGACTTTATTTTTGTTAGTATTAGCAGCTGTAACAATTGAGGCCAGGTGACAGATAATTTCTTTCTAAGAAGGTGTTTATTGTCAGGAAAATTGCAAAGTTTCCTTTGTAATTACTCTATTTTTGCTGTTTTGGCAGCCTGTAAAGTTTTATTGGCATTTACTAAAAGGTACTTTTTTTGGCCCTAGCCAGCTGGCTTTCTTTTTTTGGGCAAACTTTCCTAGCTCTACTATTCAGAACATATTTTCAACTTTGATTGTCTACTGATGGATGGGGTGTTTATGAACAAGGAGCGAAGTGGCTTATAATGTCTCAATTGATCTCAAGTCATGTCTTCAGTTGGGTGACATCAGAATGTGGCAGGTGTACCTCAACCTTGTGAGGTTTGCTTCCTTGTTATCCAGCTTATCATTTTGGTGCTAATGTGGTCAATTTAAGACCATGCAAATTATAGGCTCTTTTCATGTATAGACTGGAAGAAAAGGGTGTGAAATTATCAATCATAAGTGAGGATTCACTCTTAAGAAAATGAAATTTTTCAAGCAATATAGAGTCATCAAATTGATGTTGAAACTCTGTTTTAGGGGAGAAACATAAGGACAATAAATGCACAGGAATTTAAAAATAGACCAATAAAATAAATTTATTTTATTTAAAAATATAGATGTAGTGTTTAAATTGCCTCAAAGGTATCCCCCTATTATATATTGTTTTCTTATGAAGGGATTTATTTAAATATTTTCCCAGATAATATTAATGAATATGAGAGATCTCTTTTTTAAAAAATAATGACTCAGATGAGGGATAGAAACAATCTGGACTGTGAGAGAGTTAAAATGGCTGCTTTGCTGGATCATGAATTCCTATGTTGCCAAATCAGGAAATAAAGGTTACATAATTCTTGATTGGCTGAAGACTATCAGAGGAGTTAAACCTGGGTATTGGATACCTATCTGTCCCTTATTCTCTCCGTGCCCTCGAGTTGGCACTGACTCATAGCTGACCCATCAGTGGGTTTTCAGATAAATTGCATAGGAGGAGATTATCCATTTGTCTCCCATAGAAGAGCTGGTGGACAGTGCTGGCTGGAGCTTCCCGACTAAATCAAGCCTGGAAGCAGGAGCAGCATCCACTTCCGAAATGGCTTGCCTCCCAAAACTCTATGTATGAACAGTGCTCAGGCCGTTCGTTTATAGGGTCGCTATGAGTTGTCTATGCCTCGACGGCATCAAACAACAACAACAATGAGCTTAAAATAACCTCAATAGGAAGGGTGGTCTGAACATATCGTTGTTATTAAATAATGCCATAAATCCCACTGTGGTTGAGTTGATTTTGACTTGTAACGACATTTCATTAGATTTTCTTGGCTCTGAACAGGAGAAGATGGCCTATCTTTTTCCCTCAGAGCAGCTGAAAGATTTTAATCTTTTGGTTACCAGTTAATATATAATATAGTACACCATAAGTACTCCTCAAACATTGTAATAATAATGTTGTTGTTATTGTTTTATAGTACTTGTTTATTATACTTCAGTGTGTTGTTGTTGTTGTTGTTGTTATGTGCTGTCGAGTCGCTTGCGACTCATAGCGATCCTATGTACAACAGCCCTAAACTCCGCTCTGTCCTGTGCCAATAGCACTGTCTCTGACACTCCCATCCCAATTATCCCAGTCACTGAATCAATCCACCTCATAGAGGGCCTTC